GCACACTCACCAGACCTGGGCTAGGACTGGGTCTCGAGGTGCATCTGTTTTTACAGAGAGCTCAGATTTGTTTTTCCTTATGGCAGAGTAGTGCTCCATGGTGTGTGAGTGCCGCGTTCTCTATCCCTTCATTTGGTGATGGACACGTAGGCCACTTCCAAGATTTAGGTGTTGTGAATTGTGCTGCTGAACATGGGTTTGCATGGATCCCTGTGTCATGATGCTTTTAATTCTTTTGGGAAGAGGAATTGCTGGGTTAAATGGAATCTCTAGCGTTAGTTAGTGGAATCTCCATACTGATTTCCATAGTGGCTGCACTAGTTTACTTTCCCACCAACAGTGTAGAAGGGCACCTTTCTTCCCACATCCTCACCAGCATTTGTTATTATTTGATTTTTTTTTTTTTTTGTTGTTGTTGATGGTTATTCTTTCTGGCATCTCACTGTTGTTTTAATTTGTATTTCTCTAGTGGCCAGTGATGTTGAACGCTTTTTAATGTATTGATAGAACATTTGTATTTATTCTGTGAAATGTCTGTTCATTTCTCTTGCCCATTGTTTTGGTTGGGTCTCTTATTTTGGGACATTTCTAATTTTTTGAATTCTTTCTAGAGTCTTTTCTCTGAGGGGTTGCTGGCTTTTCTCCATTCCTTTCAGTCTGCCAGTCGTTTCCTTTGCTGTGCAGAAGTTTTGAGTTTGTTGTGATCCTGTGGAAACGACTCTCTGTAACGTCCCCCTGGTACTCTGTTGTGTGGTTTTGAGCTTCTCAGCTGCACACTGTGACTGTCCACTCTGGTGACAGAGAGGCTGTAAATAGCAATGGAGTCACAGGGCTGGCACGTGTCCCTGAAGAGTGCTCCTGGCCATTGACTCACCCGGTCATTGTCACCCATCACTGCCCTCCTGCTGGGTGTGTGTCAGGGGGTCAGCAGATGGGGTGTGCTGCTCTCTTTCCATGTCCAGGCTGGTGGGGCTTCAGGAGCAGACCCTGAGCTCCCAACCCCATTGGGTTGACCCCATTAGATCTGAAGCCCCAGTGGCTTCTGACCCCAGGAGCTATTTCAGGTTAGGGCCTCCCGACTGCCTCCCACTTCAGGAAACCCTCACATACTCACTTTCTAAAACATTTCCCCAGCTTTCCTTTTGTATTTTTAGGAGATACATTTTATTGTACAGATTCTTGGGGACCAGTGTGATAACTGGAGACAGGTGTGCAGCG